TATCCGTAAAGCATACCTGCAGATCTACCTACTGGAGCAGGAACCCAGGATACCTGTATTAATCTGAATAAAAACTCTGTAGCTACCCAGACTTTGGAGATGCCACCTGTACCAGAATTTCCATCCACACCTTTATCACCTATGAGGTCGGCTCCCTGCTCATTCCTAAATCTGTTCAATAATTTTCAACACTTAATGCTCCCTACTTTATCAAGATACTCAATTCTGCATGCTAATATAAAAAAAAAAAAGGCAGCAATGCTTACTCCTGTGGCTACTTCACTATGCTCAAAAGTTGTGGTTGTGATTGCTCTCTACCTTGTAGACTACTTCTACTTTTGGTGTATTGTGGTGAGATGTCTGATGAGTGCTTTTCTTCAAGTGGAGGGCCTTTAGTACAACATTTTCTAGATTTCTTTTTTTTTTTTTTTTCTGTCACAACCGGAAAAAAGAAAGGATATGAAAAATATTGACAAATATGTACTCTAACCTTCACAAAACTAACAACCAAAAAATGTTGCAGCAAAAAGTATGTAAAACTTTGGGAGTGAATCCCACCAGCACTCGTGGCTTTTCCACTATTTCCTTAAAGTTTTCCATCACGCAGTGTGTTACTAAATATACATGTTCCATCTTTATAAATGTAAAATAGTGCTTAGCTTTCCGAGTTTGTAAGCGGCAGGACACTTCTCTAAGTGTGACACTTCATAAGTGTATTGTGCCTCATTTTATCCCCCTGTTTGTATTTTGCTGTAAACTCCATTTTCTTTTCCAGTTTACTAACATTTTCATGTGCAGTGACTCCTGTTCAACATACTATCTCAATGTGGATTAAAAAAATCTCTTTCTGTGTGTGTCTCCATTTGGTTTTGTTACTGTGAATGGAGTGAAAATGGTGCTAGACCAGAACCTGCGGCCGTTCTTTTGCCGATAGCAGAGGCCTCCTCTGGCAGTGTCCCCTCTCCCAGACTTTCTGAACACATTGCGGCAGCAGCTCCTGGGAGGTAAATCATTCAGAGGGGGTTTCGATTCATTTAACGATCTAGCTATATGTTGTTCTAGCCTAGATTTGTCTGTCTTGGGGGAGAGAGGGTTGTCTGTCATTCACTTAAAATAAACTTTATTAATTTGCTGCGAGTAGGGATTTTCCTGGAAATGGTAGGAGGGGGAAAGAGAAGAGAAATGAAATAAAGCTGAGCAGATTCATGAACAGTCTTGTGGATACCAGTTAAAATAGATACAATATTTAGTTTGTGTTGGTACGTTGTCAGTGGGTATCCACCCCATCACCCAGACGGAGTAACTTTTCAGTGGTCTCAACAACTCAAAAGTGAATTGAGATTTCTTCAACACACAGAAAAGTGCCTTTTAAAATATAAAAATAATTTTTTTAGAAGTGGATTATTTCATTCATAACACTGTGCTGTGCTATGATGCAATCAAAGAAAACTAGATTATTATCTGGCAAATTTCCTGTCATTGTCCTTGGGTAGCTTCACTGGCACTTGTCTTGGCAGATTGATGTTTTGGAGATCATCTGTGGGTGCTAGACAGCGACAGTAATTTGGAGGGTTATGATGCTATTATTCAAGGTCAATAACATCTGCTGATGGTTTGTGTTTCATAGTGCAGGAGTGTTTTTTAATTCCAGATAGCTGGTGTTCATTACACGTGCACAAGCACAAAGCTATAACACGAAACAAAGCTACTCCCTTAAAAATGAGAATTGAATGAACAATGCCTGGTCCCACCATGCCCGTAGACAGAGACTTGTCCTTGTGAGAAGCACACAGGAATATCCTATTGCCCATACCTGTGTGGGCTTTCTGCAACTAGAAATCTAATATTAAGATTTGCGATTGACAGTTGCCCCTTTAAAGCAATAGTCTCCACCAGCTGAGAGAGATGAGGTGAAACCTCACAACAAAATAAGTCTGTTTTGTTGCAATGTCTTTTGAAGGCTTTTTTGATGTATGGGAGAAGAGGGTACCTTTATGAGCTAGCATGAGATTAGTCAGGAAGGGATGGTGGATGATGACGGAGGTTTGCTTGGACAGCAGGCTGGTACCTTCATGGTGGCCTTTGGTTTGAGCCAATACAGAAAAGAAGATTTGGTTGTGATGGTTTCAGCAGCACGTTCTCTTAAATCCTAGGAAGCAGATGGGGTGAGTAGTTTTCACCAAAGATGAAGAATGCACACAAAAGGTGTATGGCAACGCCTATGGTGGTTGGTGTGTTTTTTGGGTTTTTTGTTTTGTTTTGGTTTGGTTTTTTTTAAACAGAAATCCTGGGATGAAAAAAGCAGAGGGAAAAGTACTACTTCAATAACTGATTTTTCATATCTACCAATGAAACTCTAGTCTGATTACACCTACTGAGCTGCAGGTGCCTTGCAGATACTGCTACAACTACTGTGTTCTGACTACCAAGGAGTTGTTTCTAAATCCTAGCTCTGGATCTGCATCCAGGGAGAGCAAATTTAAATCTCAAGACCTATGGCTCTAAGTTTATTATTTGGCAAAATTAACCTAGCAAGAGAGCAGCTTTAAAATGAGCCACACGAAAACAGACAGGACGGCTACATTCATAGTGATTCAGAATGAACCGAAGTATTTATATAAATAGTCAAAAAAGTAGATGATGAGTATTTTCTGCTCAAGAGGGGCAGAAATCTGAGCAGCTTCTGCAGATCTGTAGGAAGAAGGATTAGCACTGAGTGTGGGAAGGAGAACATAAATTATTTGACAAAGCTATGTAGTCTTGATTCTCTCCTGAAATGAGAGCTCATCAGTGTAGCAACTATATTTGGTGTTTATGTTTTGTCACTGAATTGATGTCGCTGCTCTTACAACATTCTTTTGGGTGGGGTATTTGAGCTTATCTCCAAAACCCCTTCTTCACAAAATAGCAGCTATCAGAAATCCATATGGAGCAATTGGTGCATGCCATGTCAGACTTTTAGTAAAGCAGAATTGGGCCATGCAAAGGTCAGTAGACTTGCTTTTGCCACTAAAGCCCCGCATTTGTTGTTGATGACTGGCATAGGTCTTTCTTTTCCTAATGGGCGCTGTCTTTTCTTGGCTGAAGCTCTGTGATTTGTACCACCTACTACTCAACCACCAAGAAGGAGAAAGAGCTTACTGTGAAATGTATGAAGGCTCTGGATTTGATTACTGGATTAAAGTTAGGTTCACTGCTTTTAAGGCACGCTTCATAATATAAAGCATAATGCTTTTTTTATTGTAGTTTGAGTTCTTTATTGAAAACCTAAACTAGTCATATGGCAATATAGCCAACTACTGTAATTTATAGTGTATTATTATTCAATTTCATATCTGCAATATCCTTCTGTAAGTTTAACAGTAAAATATTTAAGAGCAATTACAGCCTTTTTAGAAAGTTGCAAAAAGTCATCTTAAATAGTCATCCTGGCAACTTTAGACCATGCAAACCACAGAATCTGGCACTTCCTGAGAAATATGTAACTAATAGAAAGCAGATCTAGTGCCAGCAAGTCTTTAGATTGCTCTTTTATATACATGCTTTTTACAGTCATACAGACCTACTTTTATCTTTTCTTTTAATAGAATTATTCCTGATAGTCCTAAATACAAAGAGTTATTATTAAATAGTAGGTATTAATCTTGAGTTTTGTTTTGTACTTTCTGATTAGTGGACAGCCAAGAATATTCTCGGCAGAAATTGTAATCTCTGAGTGTAATTTCTTACTCCTTTTCTAGCTACTGCCAAAGCAAGTGAAAAATGGAAATACAATGAGTATGTATGTATGAATAAAATTTTGAGTCAATTTGCTTTTTGCTTGCTCTCCCTTTGGAGCATATACCCACCTTCTTCAAGGCCCTTTTTATGATTTATAAAGCTTCACAAAGATGCGGTATGAAGTTTTGGAGAACTTGAGGGCAGCTCCAGGAAAGGGTGTAATCTCTGCATACCCCTGTTCTGTTGTGCATTGTTTTAACTGCTGCTGTACTCTCCTCAACTCAGCCAGATCCCCTTTTTGGCAGGTTTGACATTTCTACATCACTTTTCCTAAACAACTTCCCTCAGTTGTAGTCATTATGCAAAAGGAAATTTGCAAAGACAGGAGCTGCACATTTAATTGGCAAATGAGCATCAGGTTGGGGAGAAGAGGAGGTCTCAGCCTGACTGAACTAAAACTGTCAGAGCTTTTATGGTTTGGTGACAAGCAAGAGGAGTTAAAATATGGCGGAAAATATTGCTTTGCTGCAGTGAATGCTACTTGTCCTTCTGCTTTCTTTTACTTCAGAGAACTTTTGTTTGAGAACCCTTTGGAAGCCTTACCCAAGTGTGCACCTCATCCCCCTGCAATTGTTCAGGTTTTAAATACCAGCAGCCAAGTAGCCACAGTGTCTAAAGTGTCATCTACTTACACTAGGTAGAGTTTCTAATATACTTCTTGTGCTCTCGTTCAAGTTTGGTGTCTGTTTTTTGAGTAACTACTTTAAACTACCCAAAGTGTTTGGTTTTGTGGTTAAACAAGCCTGGTTGTAAGCTCTCAAGCTTAAACTGTAAAAATGCTCCAAAGAGCCAGTTTCAGCATGGTCTGATTCCTAGGGGAGGAGTATTTGGTTCCTAGGGGAGGAGTATTTGGTTCCTAGGGAAGAAAAAAAAGCCCTCAGGTTCTACTCACTCGTTCTTCTTACAAAAGATGCAAGAACACCAGCTAGAAAGAGTTGTCCATTACTGTTTGGTATTTTTAATCAAATGAGAGATTTCTTCTCCATATGTTGCCTCATTATAATTGCTTGTGAAATTAACGCCAACTAGGGAAATAACTGCGGAGCTGCCTGCTCCAGATGGAGCAAGCTTTTTGACAGCTGATAACGCGCCTCCTCTCCCCGCGAAGTGCGCTGTGGCCACGCAGACCTCCGAGCTCCCCCTGCCCACCGCCGCGGCCGTGAGGCCCCCTTCTGCAGCCCCGCCTGTGGAAACGGCCCTCCTGCCGCCTCCCACTCCTGCCAGGTATATCCGAGCCAGCTGTGTTAAAAAGGCATGATCAGAAACTATAATTTTATATATGGTTTCACCGGATGCTTTTTTTTTTTGATGATGTTGCCATCAAGATGGAGCAGCTTATAGGTGTCTCCTGACCCTCCCAGCGCTCTGGAAACTTGCACAGCAATTAGAAATTCGAGTAGCTTTTAGACAAAAGTTAGAAAAATAATTCAAACAATAAAGTGGTCCTTAGATGGAGGCAGAGAAACCAGTCATGGGTAGGAGATTTGGTTGGAAGGTGACTTTGTTGTCAAAAGTTGGTGACATGGAGTGAATAGCTTCAAAGTATGGAAGAAGGATTTTGGGGGAAGGCACAGCACAGCATGCGTAATGTATGATTCTTTTGTATTACATGTTTTATTCATCTGGCTTTCAAAGGTTAGTCACCCTTGCTATAAAATGTGTATTTTTGGATTGTCCAGTGACCTGAAGTTTTTGGAGGAGAATACAAGCATTAACTTTTGTAGTGACGGGACATCCAGAGTATAGTGTTGACCAATAGGGAAAGAAAGTGCTTCCCTCAGTAGTTAACAATCAGGGATATTAAACTATAGCTGTTCTTTTTTTTTTATGGGGAAAGAGGGCTTTTAAAAATCCTTAAATGAATTCCTCCTGAGCTTTAGTTAGCATTGCCAGAGGTGTAATAAGTGTTTGATCAATGACTTTTCTTCTCTTGCTGCTTTTGGGCAGGCATGATACATCTCTGCCTACTTGTGAAACAAATTCCTTCAGTAAAATCTCAAGCTGTCAGTTTAAGTCATCTGTAAGTCGTACAAGGTAAATCTTTTAAGATGTATATACAGCAGACCGCTAGGTGTAAGCAAGATTTTCAGGCAGCATTTTTGCATTTAAATCCAAGACGTGGTGTAAAGTATAGTTGTGTAAGTGTTTGGAGTGTTTTGTTCACTCCTGAAATGATTTTAAAAAATTCACAGCAATTCTGTGGATAATCTTGAAATTTTAAAATAGAGCCTGGGTTATGGGTTTGCCATTGTAGAAACAATTTTGGAGCCAGTATGTTTTTTTCACTTTTTGTTTTGCCTGTTCACATTCCTCCCAACCCAGTTAACAAGTAAGGAAAACGAAAAGGGGGTGAGGAGCACATTAATGTTGGAAAGGTTGATAAAAATAAACCTACTGAATTTATATCACCAAATATTCCAAAGCTTTCCATGTTTATTATTTATTATGAAAAAGAGGAGAAGCTAAATGATCTTTAGGGCTCTTTCTGTTAGCACCATGGAGACTTAGATGGATCCATGTGGAGTGTCCTGGAGTTCAGTGGGAATGTCCCAGGGGTGCGAGGCAGAGTCTGGGGTGGGGAATTTGAAGGCTGACGGATGCTGAATCCTCACTTGATGAGGGGAAAGTTTTATTTGTGGGTGAAATCAAAACTGCTGTTTTCTACGTTAGTATTCAAGCAGTTAATACATTGCCTGGTGTCTTTGTGAACTAGGAACCTACAGTCACATAACTACCCAGTGGTTAATGCAGTCCAATACTGTACTGTGTCTCTGTCAATCTTTCTGCTTTCTCTGTTTTCTCCTCTGTTGGCTCAAAGCTTCTGTGCTAGAAAACTACTGCTGGAAAATCCTTTGGGAAGTCTGCCCAAGTTTGGACCTGCTCCTCTTCCCATTTTTTCTCCTTTCAAGCAGAGATCAAAAATGAAGAGCATGGCTGCTGCTGCTGTATCTGCTGCTGTTGCTGTCCAGGCCAGGTAGACGTCAGCTTTAAAAGAAACTTTTTATAGCTTGGTTTAAGAAAGTTCGAGCTCACACAAGAATAATCAGTTCCTGGCAGGGTCGCGAAATCCACTCTTTCACAATAGCCTGGTGGGCCAGTCGTTAGAATATGTCCAAGGCTCCCATACCCTATTTTTAGCTTAGCTCCAGAGTGCTGCTCTGAACCTTGGTGAGTAGTTCAACCTTTCTCATCTTCATGATGTCCATTTTACGGTCCAGTCAGTAAACTAACTGTAAAAAATAATTATGTTACAGGGGTGACAAAGAATAATCTGCATCTTTGAGTAACTTTTGGGTGCTTGAAGACAATAACTCTCTGAGTTACATCTAAATATTTATTGCATTGCTTTTTATAAAAGCCTACTTAAACCAGTGGTCTCAAGTTTTTCAATCATGCACCCATAGCAGTAAAAAATTTTTGAGCATGCGTCTCCAATACATGTATATTTATGTATTCCTAAATTATATAAATGTCCTAATGTACTAATATATTATGTATATTTTAAAGCATACACAAACCCAGAAATTCAAAAAGGATGAGAAAAAGATGAAATAAATACTATTTTAAAAATATTTGCTATTTTACTTTATGGATGGTAGAAATAAAATAAATTTCTTCTTACCGCCCAATGGGTTGTCTTTCACACCCCCTGTGCTGTAAGACCTCAGTTTTGGGGACCACTTATTTAGACTTAATTCCTAAACCAGTAATTCTAGGTTCAGTTTCTCTATACCGCTACATAACCTGCAGGCTTTTCGTAAGGGTTTTTGGGTTTTCAGTGGTCCCAGCCAACTTGCACTTTGTTTGGTCAACTAGTTTATTTACGTGATCTTTTTAAACGCTTGCTAGACTCTCTGAACCTAGCGCCTACCGCTCGCTCTTGGATGCCCTGCTCATCACGCCTGTCACTAAGCCTCCTCTGCAGGCCATCGGGCCTTCCAGGAAGTCTACAAGTGCTCTGGAGTTGCAAAAGAGCAAGAGGTATTGTCCAAGCGTGGCGCATGGTTGGCACCGAGAGCTCGCAAGAAACTGGCTTCTCCTTCAAAGCCTGTTTCTGTTGTCTGCACACTTGAAGCCGCCTGCCTGTTGTGGTCTTTGGCATGAGGTCACCAACCCCAAATCCTACTGGTTTTCACCTCTTTGCAGAACTAATCTGCACCCTGGTCCTGCCGATGGTGTTTGTGCAAGTTCACCATACTAAGCAAAGGTTTCCTCGCTTGCATCGGGTGCCCTTCTGAGACGCAGGGTGCTGTTTGTGTTGCCCTGCGAACCTCCGAGGGAGGCACCGTCACTCTAAATAGCCGGCTGGAGAAGAAACGAGATATTCTGGCTTGAAACCTCTGTCCAGGTGAATTATTTGCAACAGTTCCTTGAGCAAGTAAGCGGCATGTTAGGCTGTGAGGGTGCTCCGGGAACAAAGAGCTGCTATTTTTCAAAGCTCGCTTTTCATGTATAAAATCAAATAACTAGCATGCGGTGCAACAAATAACTATTTTAAAACTTATTTGCTGTCTAGGCTCTTTGTTCCAGCGCTGATTCTGCTCAGTGCACAGGACTTTTTGTTCTCGTTTCCTGACCGCAGCTGTGTTAACACTGTAGAAAGCTGCTTTTATGTAATGGACTTCAGCCTCAAAGGCAGAAATCTGGTTATTTTACCCGACAGTATGTATTAAGTTGTGCTAAGGAAGAAATAACTTGTGGGTTTTTGTATAGTTATTTGCATTTTCACAAGAGTAAAACCCTTCTAGACATAAGGCCCAATTATAAGTAGAGCTGAGATCCACTTGATGTAAGAAATTTCTGTTGAGTAAGAAGTATTAGATCTTTTGCTCCTGTTTCATGGCTTCCAAAGTGACCTCAGTCACTAGAAAAGGCTAAAGTAGCCCTAACTTTGGGGAAGGCAAATGGTAGTTATTAGACACCAACAGACAATCTTAAGTTGTATGAAATTTTCCAACATTGTGGCATATCCACTTTAAAAAGAAAAATATTAACAGAATTATAGTGATATAGTACAATCTTAAATACCAATTTTCTTTTTGCCACTGAATGATACATATTAGGAAATCTTTTTATGTGCACATCCAAAGGGAAAACCTCTCCAGGAGTTCTGATACCTGTGCACCACGGGTGAAGTCCAGGATGTGCTGCCAGCAAGACTTCATTCTTTAGCCGTGGTGTTTGTTTGCTGATACTTTAGTAGAGCCAATAATGGTGGTGAAAATGAATTCCCTGACTTCCCTGTTCTTTTTTCCTTCACTCACTAGTGTGCATTGTTTATGGCATAAGCTGCAAATGAAGGTAGATTGTTACAAGAATGGAAACAATCCCCTTCCTGACTCTGAAACTGGCTCTATGTTTACTCATCATTTGCTCACCAGATGGGGAGAAACTCTCCTCATTTTGAAGGTTTATTTTTGGAGATGGAAACACTCATTTCTGCTAGAAAGTTGCAATTCCCAAACTGGTTCTGTCCAGTTGCTGTGCCTTATGAGTGCATGGGACTGCCCATTGGAAGAGGCAGCAAGCCATGGAGTTCTTTCATCCCGCCATAGTTAAAGTGCAGTTTTGGAGGTTTTTGTCTGTTTTGCTCTTCCAGCTGGCAGAGCTGGAAAAAGATGTGCCAGGGAGCCAGGAGGTATACTGGAAATACAGAGACCATATAAGCCTGCCCAAAACACCTTGTCAGTATTAGATATATCAAGATCCAGGTGGAACGGCTTGAAATAACCATCCACAGATTATTAGGGTTTTTAAAATGTTATTTCTAAACTTGCGAAAAACAATTTTTCTCTTAAACCGTTGCAATAGCCAGGTTATCCTGGTTCAGGTTGCTGCATATAGGCGGTGGCATAAGGCCATACAGGAAACAGGCTGTTAGGATATCCCAAATATGATATGACCTCAAATTTGGGAAATATGATGTAGCAGTACCATTAGTCTGAGAATGTTATGCATAAATTGCATTTTTGAAGGATTTTTCCCAAAATAACTGGTGTTGATCTGAAGTTATCCTACAACATACCAGGGTAATGCTTTCTGTTTTCCTTATTATCATCCTGAGCTGCCAGCGCTGGTAACGAGGAAGGGGTTGCCGGTAGATGGAGCCATAGAAATGAAGCTTTGTCCTGCCTAGTGAAAAAAGGAGTACTGCCCTATTGTATGGATTGAGAAACACATAGGAAATAGAGATAGAAGATGACAAATTATGCTTACAAATGAGGATATGTACTTACTGACAGTAAGTTAAGTTCAACAGAGATCAGTTATGTCAGGGAAAAAAGAAAAATGTAATAGATTTGAGAAAAATATACCAAATGAGTGTGAGAAACTAGGTAGTAAAATGACTTTGCATTACTGTCCATCTAATGACATATTGTAATATGTGCACAAATGTAATGCTGAAAAATTATTTGAAGTGGCAGCTCACTTCATCCCACAACACCATAGTTGATAAGGAAGGAGAGCTGAAATCTACATCCCATAACTAAAGAGATGAGTATATGACATCTCTTATTCAAGAGTAAAAACAAGAATAACTTGTTCAAAAAACAACTGGTTCAACCAAGAAAGCCAAGTAAATAAGCTTAAACAGCTTTGGGGTTTGTGCTTTCCAGCTCTACCTTGTATAACTTTCATGAAAAGGTAATGAATCTATTTTACCAAGGTAGCTAAGGCTTGTTTGCATTATCTCTGGGGAAAAACTCAGGAAGTTTGTAGCTATAACAAAAGCAGGGTTTTGATTTTGTTCTGCAGTAGGGTTGCTCCAGAAATATTTCCCTTTTATCCCTCTCACTTCACCGTCTCTGTTCCAAAAAGCTGGCTGTCTTAAACTGCTCTGTGCTGGGTAACTGCCAGAGGACTTGACCTTTTTCTGACTTATCTGTTATTAACTGGCCTGAAGTGGTGCTGAACATCCACACATTCTCTTCCCCTACAAGACTCCTCAGAAATGGACTTTTTTTTTGGTATAACAGCCATCTAATCTTTCACTAAGCTAAGTGTTCATCCTGATGGCAACGGCGATAACCTTAAGTTTATGGGGGTTTGTGGTTTTTAATGAACTACATACATGCAACAAAGGAAAAGATGTATTTAATATCTTGCGTTTCCAAGAATTGGAGCTGTGCCCTAAAATTAAATCACATGGCGAAAATGCTGTGAAATTTTGGGAGACGCTAGCAAGAATGGGCGTTGACATAGCTTTTGCTTTATCCACCTGACACTATGCCACGTACAATTACTTGAAAAAGAGGATAGTCTGGCCTTGTGAGGTAAACACTGGTATTGACTCTGAGGGAACACTTATTCTGAAAGATGCTTTGAATTGTTTCTGTGTGGAGCACTGCTTATGGAAAGGTTACATACACCCTCACTGTAACTTGATATGGAAATACCTCCACCCACACAACTTTCTCTGCTCTTTCTTTTTACTGTTTTATTTTGCATTTTCTTCTTTCTTGCAAGTTATTGGAACACTGCTAGGTTAACATGAAACATAAACATCGTTTTAAAAAGCTGACTGAGACTGTGCATTTGCAGTAGGGGTGGGAACAAGGTCAGCACTCAGCATTTCTTGTCCTTTGTTTCTCTATTGTTAACACCATAAAGCCCTTGCAAAAAGGCATATGTATTCCCCCCACTCATGGGGTTTCATCATCTTCTCATACGTGGCTTTTCCTGGTCTCCTATGTATGTCTTCAGCTCACGTGTATTTTGATACTGGACAAAAGACATCATGTGATGTATGTGACTTAAACAGCATAGTTTAAAACAAGAAATTGAGATCTGAGATTCAAGTTTTATCTCAGCTGTGCTAATACCTTGCTGTAAAGCTTTGGAGGAGCATCCGTGTAACAGTTTACTTGGTCTTAGGGCAGACAAATCATTCTTTCCTTACTTTGAAGTTGCAAAGTTTCTTTAATATAAATGTTTCAGAAAGTTTTTGTTTTGTTTTTTTTTTTTTTTTCTTCAGTGCTATATCAAACACTGTATGTATATTTTAGAAGCCATTTATTCAGGTTTCTGCAGTGTGCTCGTTGTCTTCTTGGGGTTAACAGGCAACCAACAGGCAGCAATGTGTGATGCGAGGGAAGTCTTACTTTTTTATTAAACTATTTTGGTTTTAGAAGCCGTAAAGCAGAATCAAGGCTATCATATTCCACTGGGTTGTGCCAGAAACCAAGAATAGTGATTTTCTTACATCTTTTCTTTTTTTTTTTTTTTGGTCTTGTTTTTGTCTTTAAAGATTTAGTGTTCCTAAGGGAAAATAACCTCACAGAATTCCTGGCCATCTGAAGAAAGCATTTACAGACTGTCTCTTAGATTATGATCTCTCCTGTCAGCAAACTTCCTCAGACCACAGGGGACTTGTTCCTGACTCACGCAGTCATTCTGGACAATGAGTGGGAGTTAAAAGATTATTTCAAATCCAGAGGACTTTTAGAAAAATACTGATGTACCAGACTACAGATGGGTAACCTGCTATCTTGGGCTTGCATGAGGAAAAAGTCTACCCAGACCTCTTGAACCTGCTTGGGAAAGTCTGAGAGACTTGGCCCTTGTTACCATTTTAGTGGTGTTAGAAGTTACACAATGACAAGCTGCATTTCATTTTCAGTTAGAACCATAGCTGCTTCTTTGGCTAATAACAACATGACACATAGTTATGTTCTGTAAAGTGTGTGTGAAGAAATTCTAGGCAGCATTATATAGGACTTTCCGTGGAAGGATGGAGGGAGGTTTAGGCATCTATAGCCCCAGACCACGTGTTTTTCTTCTCTTGGATTGGGGAGGGAGGGAGGCATCAAAATCTCTAAATACATTCAGAAGGATTTTCCAGTGCAAATTTCTTAAAATGCCTCTGAGGTGTGTTCAGTCTTGTCTTGATGCACCTGACTTTTGGGGAGGAAGGGGATGTGGTATGGAGTGGAATATCCCAGAGCGGTCTCTGAAAAACTGGTGCTCACTGCATGTGTCCTGGACCTGCTTCCTCCCCCACAGGTTCCTTGCCTACCGCCCCTCTGCAGCATCCAAGCTCTCAGTTCAGCAATGGGACAGTCATCTGGCAAATGTCTTTTTTTTTTCCCTTGTCCTCCCACCAAAAAACAGGGTGTAACACAGTGTTTTGTATTCAGGGAGGAAGATGAGGAGGAAGAGCAGAGGAATTATTACTTGCTTTTTCATCTATTTTGCCTGTTTCCACAGTGCTTTTGTTGATTAGGAAGGGGTAAGTCTGAGGAGCCTGTTGTGAGCTCTGGATAAAGTTTACAGTGGCACTGGAGCCCTGTGGGTCCCCCCAGGTCTCAGACTTGCCCCCCAGAAAGTTCTTCTTTTTCCATAGATGCCCTTACTCTGATAGAAGGGGCTGCACTATGTGGTAGGAGTTGTACTCCATGGAAATGCAGGAGAGTGTGTCGTGTATGAGCTAGCATATGTCAAAGATAGAGAGGTGTCTTCAGCTTGCTTCTTTGCTGGACATTTTTCCTTGGGCTGTTTTTTGCAATCCATTTCCCTTGCAACCCACTTCCAGGATTATTTTGATTAATCGTCCCATAACTTACTAATTACACACATCGTGGTTTTTGGGACACAAGACTCTGAGTCAGTCAGGCTCGCGTTCCACTGTTCCTTCATTCTTGCAGTGTCAAAACCCCTTGCCCAAAGCTTGACAGGAGAGCATTCACGTCTTGCAAGCAACATTGTCTTTCTTAAAATGTTTGTGACTCTTGGTTGCATCAGTTTTTCATCATGGAAAACTTTCATTTTTGCTATAAGTATTCATCAGGTGGAGGAGGAATCATTTAAGAGTTAAGAAACAGAGCTAAAAGGTTAAAGCCGGAGTTAGAAGGTAGGCTTGTCATTAATAACCGTACAAGTGTTTTGGCATCAAAATGTGCTTGACCTGAACCTCACCTATGAGTGTCATCTGGGAAGTCTGAGAAAGCTACTCATGTGGAACTTGGTAAATACGTAAGGTTTATCGTTCCTCCTTTGGTTTTCTAGTGACAACACTAAAAAGCAGATGGGAGGTCTCTTCCATAGCCTATTCATTTTCTTGAATTTCTGTATATATTTTTGTCTCTTCAAACCATGTATTTTCTAGGTAATGAATCTTGGGTCATCGTTGTACAATAGTCTAGTGAGTTACAAAGTACTAGTAGGGCTAATTGTGGGTATCGTACAGCCACTTTTTGGAAGGTAAGTGCGCTTCTGAAAAGATACATAGCTATATTTATAAAGATGGATAAAAATAATTGGAGTTTGAGTGTTTCTCAGTGTAGAAGAATATAAAGTAAAATGTTGAGGAAATAATTTTGGAGTATGAATTTGAAAAATTTTAGCACTGAAAAGGTTGAACATCTCCAGGGTGCAGCGTTTCTTTGAAAGTGAGAGAAAGATGGATCTATCTTTCTCTCTACGGAGAACGCTGCAAGTGCGCTCCCACGCAACTGTATGATTAGAGGCTGTAATTCAGGAAAACTGGTGCGTGCGCTGTTTCCTGCAGCCCACCGTAGGTGGGCAATATCACACTGGAGAGACTTGCCAAGCTGCAGTAGCAGCCTGCCTGTTAAATTAACAGGCTGTAGTGCCAGTTTGAGTTCATTCAACTCTCGCTTGAAAGAACCAGGCACAAAGTACAAAGGCTGTCCAAGACCTGTGAGAAGTTTTGCCCTGAGGCCAACACAATCCCCTCTGTCAGAATGACGGCTGCAAGCTTTTCCCTTGGGAAGCTTCTCTCTAGGATAGGCTGCTGGCACATAAACCACCAGAGGCGGTCAAAAACCACAGGTGGTTTTATAGCTGGGTTTATCATTGTCTTTTAGATTGGGGTCGTTAGGATTCACCTTTCCAGTCTTTTCATTTTCTAAATGAAAGCCTAAGTGTCTCCAGTAATCTGTTGCTTCAGGAGCTAGCATGCCATGTCATGCACGAGCCTCAGCACTAAACCACGAAAATGGCAGTGGTGGAAGTACAAATTGGCATTACAACTAGCCTTGTGGCTAGTGTCGGTCTACTTCCTCACCTGCACCTACTATAAGGCTGCAGTTTGCCAGCAGCACATCTCAGCCATTTCTACATTTTTCTATCCTCCTTCTGCCTGAAGGATACCCTTTTTGCTTCTCTTGCATCCATTTTTGCTTGTTAGGTAGCCTCTCCTGTGTAAAGACAGCTGCTGGCTCAGCAGGATTTTCTTCTTTATGACAGATGATTTATATGATTTATGATTTATATGTTCCAGACAAAGCCAGTAAAGAGGTGCTAGACTTGAAAAGTGATTTGACAAGTGATGATGAGTCTTTCGGATGGACAAGGAGGAAACTTTGTTTTTATAGGACCAACAGTGTTTTGAGGAATTCTTAAAGTTGTAATGGGGCTCTGGCCTGGAGCAGGTTTGATGGGTTACGTGTCAAATCTACTCAACAGTATATAAGGAGATTTCTGTGACACTGAAGTTGCAGACAGACACTTTTTTCATAGTGGAAGCCAGTCCTGAACTACCTTGTACTCAACTACTGAGTCTGCTACTTAACGTCAGAAAATGTCTTCCTATCCTTTTGCTTTCAGTCTGCAACAGTGCTTTTGTGCAGTGTATCTCCTCTGCCTCAAAATCTGTTGTTAAAAAGACTTGTATCCTAAGCCTTTAAGGAGTCTAACATGTACCTTAAATGCCTCCACTTGCGCTATACAAAATGCCTTTAAATAGCTTTCAACATCTGAACGTAACAGAATGCGAGGTCTCGCTTTGTGCTTCACTGGGCTTGTGCACGCTGCCTATAGCAAATCCATCAGTGCCAGTTCGGTCCAGCTACTGCTGTTATCAAAAGCCTACAGATGCAATAGCTGTTACTCATTAAACTGAGCATTCAGATATATTCTCTAAATGGTGAATCTTTTTTTATCCCTTACGCAGAAAAAGATTCTAAATATGTTCATTATTAATCCTGTAAATCTAGAGGCAAAAAAAAAAATCAAGGTTATGAACTTGCGTTTTGGCTTCATGGTATGTTCAAGTTCTTGCATGTTGTGTGGCCAAGGCAATATTGTGTGTGTGCAATACTTGTAAAGTAAAAATAGCTCAAGAATTTTTACTTTACGAACTTGGGACAATCTATAATTCTGTGAATGACCCCGGTGAAATATGCACAATGCACGTGTGCTGTAAATTTGTTTTTCTTCAATAGAGGAAAGAACACAAGGCTTTTAATGTGTTAACCACTGGGTCTCCAGATTGCATAAAATATGTATTTGGAATTGTTCTGGCTGTATTTTGCAATATTGTTAATTTCCTGGTTTTGTGATCCTCTTAGTTTGCAAATAACCTTCACAATTACTCCTCTACTTCAAAGATTTCTAATGAAAATATTTGTTTTCAGCTTCCCAAAGGCAAATATCCATTATCCAAATACTGTTACACTGCATGAAAATTTTGTTATGATAACTTGCTCATTCTTGAACAGCCTCTGGAAATGAGAAATGAAAATTTTCTTGCTGGCAACATAATCAGTGGCTACTTATATTCTATGTGAATTGTGATTAAGTGCAGTTTTCATCATGCGTGTTTTAAATAGCTAAAAGTGTTCTGCTAACCCTTAAAATATAAAAGCAGCTGTAAACTGCTCTAAAGAGGCAATATAAAATATTGTGTATGTTGTTTAATGAATAAAGAAACTTATAGCTCTTTTAAAATACTTAATCGTTTGGGGGAGCAGTGGCCCATAGAAGAAGATTGCATATAATTAAGTCGCTTTTAGATTGATGGTTTTTATTAAGATCTATGAGTATAATCTGACTATATGATTATTTGCCTACTCTCCAAGAAAAAAAAAGTACTGAAAAAGTCTGGGAGTGCACCAGATTTACAGTAAGGGTTCTGCTTTAACCTGTATCATGCCAACAATTAATTATTTTAAATGGAAATTGTGAAGGGATTTAGTTGTCTATATTGACTTTTGGCAGAAATTATTCAGGTGCCCAGTTCTTAAAAAACAGCTTGAAAATGTAACTCCCACAGCGTCGTCCGGGGGTGATCACCCCAGCATCGGTGATGACAGAGTAGCGGGTGCTGCTCTGTTGCACCGGGGCGCAGGGATGTCGCTCCACATGTCCGTTTCACAAAGGCTCTTACTCTAGCAAGAAACGCATTTTCTTTTTCCTCCCCCGTTTCTGAACAGCGATTCCCTGGAGGCTACCCAGCCCGCTGCATTTACGGCCTCCTCGGCGAGGAACATGCCCGCCCGCCAAGAAAACGCCGACGCGAGACCTGCTCCCGCCAGCACCACGTCTGCTGCAGCCCTCAAGCCAACGGGACCCCCGGGTGCTGCCAAGTACTCGGGCCGGCAGCCTGCGAACCAAGCAGGTAACTTCCAGTGAGGCTTTTTCTTACTCACTTAAAGACCTTTGGATAGCTCAGGAAAATATACTTCACTGCGGGTGTCAAAACAACAGCCTTCAAATGGCTATTTGTCTGTTTTGAGTACAGGACAGTTTGTTTAGAAAAGAGAAGACAAGCAATTTTAGTAAAACAGTAGCCCTTTGTAAGTAGCCTCACAGATGCAATTGGTTTCACAAACAAGCAACATCAGATGTCTCTGACCTCTATTAAAAGCATATATACCAATCGAATATATTATACACACCTCACAGTTTCAACTTGGCGCTTCCCATGTGACTGTAAATTCAACAGAGAATATTCCAAGCCATTTCAAGGGTGGGAATGTCAATGGATGTGTGTTTTCCAAGTGATCTGTTCTGAAGTAGATGTTAATATAAAAAAAAGAAGGGGGAAAAAAAAAAAAAAAAAGGACGAAAACGGTAGAGTGGTTATGTATTTGGCATTTGTAGGTTTTATTTGAGCAAGGTGCTGGAGTATTGCATAGGTTTGTGGTATGGACATTTGTTTAAAGGTGGGTTCTTGCAAGGACAATTTAAATAATAGCTATTAGCTTTGAATGTAGTTTGGTGATTCTTACCCCTTTAAACCAGCACCAAAATGTTTTATGTCTGGAAACCATGCCATTGTCTTTATGAACGCTCCTATGTTATAACCACATCTGTATAAGAAATGCCATATGTGTGATTGTGTACCTATTTTTTTGTAATATTACATGCAGTAATTTGGGGTAATCTTTTAATGTAGCTTGTTTCTTAAATTGAATCAGTCTTTGGTGCTGAGCTAAACTTGAGTAGTAATTTCAAAGGATCCGGAAAAACTGTTACTAATTAAGCTTTAACTTCAGATTTTTCTTGTCAGAATTAGGTGAATATTCTAATATTCTTGATTCTCCTTCTGACAGGATCTAAGGTGCTAAACAGCTTTTCTTTTTCTTGCTGTTTTTTTTTTTTTTAAAAGTTCTACTGTTAAGGGCTTTCCCTCTTTAAAAGTATATCCAGTCCAGAAAAGGAACTACAGAGGCCCTGGCATAAAAATAAAGATAAAACATATGGTGTTAATGCTGTATTTTTTATAACGGCTTTGGCACATCTGGCTAAATTACTGTTGTGCCTGATAACAAATATATGTATTTTGATTTGGACATGCAGTTCTGCTAGCAAGCCTCAAGATGGCAATACACTGTCATTTCTATACTTACCAGTCAAATATTGAGTATATTCTTAGGGACAAGGTAAAGACTTATTTAAATTTAGATCAGTTTAACTCTAGCATTGTTTTACTTCTTTGAGTTAGCTATCATTAGAGGGGAAAAAAAAACCCCAACTCTTTTTAAAGTTACATTTTTGGTAGCATGTGTACTTAAGGCAAGCATTTGTGGGAATGTGATAATCCTGCATTTTTATAAGTGACTGATTGTGCTACGTGTTTGGTGTAACTCTTTTTCTGTGTCATCAAGTGATAAATTTATTTCACTTGCACAGAAACCACCTGTCAACTTGGGGTTTCGGTAGTACCACACCCATTTTCAGTATGTTGGTAGGTGTTTCATTGCTAAATCCTACTAGCATGCTTTAGTATTAATATAAGTCTAATGTTTGAAATAGGATTTTTTTTTTTTTTTAAATGATGGACCCATGAAGGAGGAAGATTTATAAGGATGAATTAAATTATACTTGATTCCATACTTCTCTGAAAATTTGTGCCCATTCTCTGGATAATACGAAATTCTCTTTTTTCACATTAGAAGTACCAAATAGGTAGGTGAGGGGTAAAGCCAGCCAGAGAATTTTTGGTTGTTGTATTTCAGAATAGCTTACAAAAACTGATTAAATTCATACTGATAGAGAAGCTGGTGGAAGGCAATGGTCGTGAGGATGTCAGCTCTGTGCTGCCTTGCTGTAGTGGCCTGGGATGTAGCGCTTAACTTCCAAAGCAAAGTCATCACCTCCCCTCAAAATGTTGGGGGAGCTAGGAGAAAGAGGCATTGAAAGCTCAAATTTTCCTAAAATAGGGAAGCACAAAAATAAAAATATCCAAAGTTTTGCTGTACCTGAGCTTACTCAATAAGGCTGACACCAGCATTCTGACAGGTAAAACTGTTTCAATAGTTGAGTGTTTTGATAAAATTAGTCAGATGTTGAAAGAAAAAGACTATAACCGTTTCAGGGCATGTTTGGACTTCAGTCATTAATTCTGCTGTTTGTTTGCAGTCTGTGAGCATAAAGTGTTCTTTAAAGTAAAATTGCCAGTGCTTCACAGGCCAATCAGAATTTGGCTTCATAGATCTTAAGCCTGACAAAATTTTAAACAAACAAAAAAACCCCCTCCATTTCCTCCATTTGAGCCCAATTGATTTCATAGTTGAAGTCTAGCTTAGGAAGTAATTAGAAGGAAGACATAATCTTATGTAAATGTGTATATCAGTATGCTATTAATAGCAGAAACTTATTTGGAATACAGTTTTGTAGGTCTAATAGCACTCACACTTCTAATGAATGCTGTATATAACACCAAGTTGTTTCCATAGCAAAGCAGATATGTTGCAGGATATTGTTTGTGTCTGGGGAAGCTGTAATCTGCTGTTTGATGGCATGGCATGAATATTACCAGTGATTTTAATTATTAAGATGTCTGACTACACAGATAAGTCATTTGGTCAGACAGCATCTTTTAGTTTATTGGCTGGAATCTCCCTTTCTTGGATAGACCACCAGAGAATACCCTTATATTTTTTTAATAAAGTAGCATGGTTTCTTTTTTGGGTTTTGGTTTAGGGTTTGGGGTTTTTTTGTTCTTTTTTTCTTTTTTCTTTTTTTTCTTTTGCAATTGTGCAGAGATGCCTAAATGTGTCAGAGGGTTTTTGTTGGAACTGAGGTATGATCTCCTATGATCTCTATTTCACAACCTGGCAAGAAAAAGGTGTGGAGGAAAAAGATGGTTTAAAATGAATGGCTGAGATAGCAAACCTGGAGATGCTTGAGCCACTGGGTTTCTCTGTACAGAAGTCAATCATGATCCAAGTGATCTCGCAGTGATAGCACCCTTGGAGCTGGACTATCCCCATCAGCTGTTGGAGGGCACTCATGGGGTACCCACGGACACTACTACACTAGGTACCCACTGTGAAGGTAACAGAGGTTTTATCGCTCTCTGGAATAAAATCCTGATATGACAGGATTCCTCAGCGGTTTGGTGGAAGAAATGAGGGATGGCTGCCTCACACTTACTTTATGGTATGGGTAAGAAGCTGGATAAGCAGGATAAAAGCCTGGCTTGTCAAACAAATGAACGAAAAAAGTCTGATCTTTGGTGCATTGGGTGCACAAGGAGTTGAAGGTGCAGGGCAAGTGGGGTGTGTGCACAGCGCAGTGGTGGCATCTGCCTGGACAGGGGTTTCCGAATAACACATTTGCCATCAGCCTCTCTTGTCTGTAGTGCTGATTTTTTCACTTGTTGAAATAAGTCGCATTGTGGCTGTTACTGTGTGTTAAGTGTACCGTCTAGAATTTATAATAGTTCTCACTTCATTTCTGTTGAGCTATGATGTTCTGTTCACCCACCAGAGGGAGACGCTTTTTCCAAGATTATATTCCATTGTAAAAAAAATTGCCCACACCATCCTAGCTACATTGCAGTGAGTTACTTTACTATTTGATTGCTAACTATTACCCTATGCTTATGTAGCACTGCTCACCCCCAGGGAACCCCAAGGCATTTTACAGTCCTGGTACCACGTGCAAGCACACGATGCACGCACAGGAATGGCTTTCACCCGCCACTGCCGTGCAATCACTTCTTGGGTGAAACGTAACAGCTGCTTGTCAGCACGCTGTAACACTCCATGGCATCTTGAAAGGAAGTGAACAGCACCGTGGCAAATTGAAACTGCTGGGACAATTTAAGAAAGTATAATTCCCCAATAAATGCAGTTACACAAACTGGAGTTTGGCCAGGAGACGAGCTGTTCTTGTGGAAAGTGCAGCAGGATCTGCGACGGTCAGAAGCGGTCAGGACTTCCAACATTACATTTCTCACACCAAATCGCCTCCTCTTTCCTGGCATCTTCAAAACGCTGTTGTTGGAGGGCGAGCTGCTGGTGCAGTGGGGACCAGAGGGGCTGGGCACCAGGCACAGCACTGCCAGCACTGCGTCCTGCCCTCCCATGCTGGAGCTGGGCAGGCAGCACGCTGCTACACTCGCGGGGGTCCGGCGGGATTGCGGAGGTCCCATGGTAAGCTGGTACAGCTCGTGGCCGGAAAAGCTGGTTTGCCGCTTGAAGAGGAGGCTTTCATTGCAATCTATGACCTTCGTTCCTCCTGGGCTCGGCAGCTGAGTACAAGGATGGGATGGGGAGTGTTTGCAATAGAAGTGTCCAAAGCTTTCAGTTTTAAGTGACCAGTTACCCGCGTGCACCAATTTCCTTATTCCCAGGGTCTCTCTCAGCCTGATACCACTGGGATATATAATCCCCTTCCAGTAGAGCTGCTTGGGAATGTCAGCATATTCTGCAATACCCACAACTGTCAGTTGCCTAATCCCGAGCCAGCACATGTGTTAAGCACATGCTCCCATCAGCAGAGGGAACACACTTGGAAGCTAACTGTAAGAATAGAAAAATTGCTCCCCAGGCAACTTTGTTTGAAAAATTCTGCTATTTCCTTGCAGTTGTTTCCGTGTGTTTGGTAGACTTGCGTTTACCATCTCTGGAGTTATCCTTAGTGTGCTGTCTTGCTGCATTTTTTTTTTTTTCTATTTCCCATTCCCTCAGTAACTTTAAAAGCAGAAGAAAATACAAGCCTACTCCTAGGTGTGATTTGACATCCTGTTCTGCATATACTGGCAGTTTGGGTCTTTGTCTCCTTCCTTGCAACTTATTCTATAGAGGTTTGCTAAAGAAAATGGGGTAAAAATCCAGACCGTATTAGACTGGGGGGTTTGGCCATAAGGTTCAAACAGTATGAAGC